TTTTAGTTGTAAAGCATAAACTGTAGTATGTAAACATCCAGAAAAATCATTATGGCTATCTCCCAAAGCATTGCATGCCAAGGTTCAAATTTTCACTGGGAGGCATTCATATTTAGTAGATAACTGCAGTTTAAATAGAATCACGCCCATACTCAATTAAAAAAAAAGAAAAAGAAAATGAATATTGCCTCAATTGCCCTTGATAGAGTACATATGATCAACCTGGATGAGTATATAGGAATTCAGTTGAATTGAATTCCGACTAACCAAGCAACACATGACAAAAATATTTGCTTTTTAATGGAATACAAAATATTTGTTTTTTAGCGAAAAATGAAAGGCGCAATGATACATCAAGAAAACTTGCAAATAATTATCTTATCTTATATACATACAGATTTAAACGCACAGTGAGGAAGCACTATTCATCTACTCTGTTATAGTTTATAAACGGTATTAATAATAGTTATTTTTTTTTATCATGGTCCTCCTGTGGGTTCTAATTGAAATTCCCCCTTACATTTTTTCTCAAGTAGTCAAAACTCCCTTTTTTATTTTAAATTTTTTTTACTATATATATATATATATTAATAGATACGTTTAAATTTAAATAAGAATACTTTATTTAATTTGAATATATGCATTTTAATTTTTTAAATATATTCTTTAAGATATAATTTATCTTAATTCAATTTGACATTATTCAGACTTTTTTTAATATCTAGATATTCCCATTCTTTTGATTTTGATAACTTGTATCTTTTCTCATTATTTAGTATAATATATACCTATGACATATTGCATTATTTGCATACATTTTAAGATAATTTTCTTGCATTATTGCATCATTGGGAACTCAATTCTTGCATATTTAGGTATTTTTAGGTCTTTAAAATCAATTAAGGATCATTCATAGCCTCAAGGTATTTGGGTCATTTTGATAATTTTTGGGCAATTTTGGAACATTAGTTTATTTTGTATCTTTTGTCTTTCTAAGATCAATGAAAGAAGTTTGATATTCAAATTCATTCTAAGTTACAAAGAGACATTAAAAGACATAAGTTATAAGATATTTCAAAATAAAGGTATTCATATTAGACTGTCATGTTTTATAATATAAGACATTAAAAATTATATTGTATCTTGCAATTAGCTTTGAATTTTGATTTGAAATTTTATACACATATATGATCATTCTTGTGTGTATAATTGCAAATGCAAATAAGGATTTGAAAGAAGATTAAATGGCCAAAAGATTAGATTACAAGACAAATTATAACACTAGAAGACCCTAGAGTAACACATGTACAAGAGTTAATTCAAGAAGCTTCTTATGACTTTAATCATGGAGGATTTCGACCAAAGAAGCCTTAATCACCCTTTAATCATCCTTTAACAAGCGTTTAGTGAGTTCCAATCAAGTGTGGAGCATCTTATATGAGCTATAAGTGCAACCAAGTTAACCTAACTTGAATGGTGGCCACATTTATTTTTAAAACTTCTACCTCATTTTGTTAATTAGTTTTCAGATTTTTCTTGACTTTGATCACCTAAAACCCATCTCATTTAACTTATTTTATACGTCCACATGCTGAAAATGAGGGTTTGGATGTGAATCTCAAGGTGAACACTTCATTTTACACATAAATTCATCTCTCTCACTTTTTTAAAATTTTTAGCACCACTTCATCTAAATTTTTTTTCGTTTGGCTCCATTTTTTCACACTTTCTTAGCCACATTCTTTCATCTCAAGCAAGTATTGAAGTTATGAAAGTCATTTAAGGAAGAATCTTTACATGGATTATGAAGAGAACCACCATGAATAGCTAGATTTTTATAATAATATTTAAATTATTAAATATAAAAATATTTAATATTTTGATAATATTTATTAAATTTTATTTTAATAAGACTTGAAGCTATTTAGTACTCTTAAAAAAAGGCTTTAGGATACGTAGTGCTCTTGAAAAAAGTTATAAGAGTAAATTAACACCAAAAGATATGATTAAAATCTTACATATAACTGTGTGTGCGCTCCACATACATGCCATGTTGGCAAAAAATAATAAAGTTAACAGCTCCTTAATAAAAGGGTGCTTTTGGACATTAAAAAAAATACTTTAAGAAAAAAATTATCTCATTTAAGAGTATAAAGTGCTTAGTACTCTTAAAAAATAAGTAAAGGTAAAATTGAACCTTAACCCTTAAATAATTTAATTTTTAAGTTATTTTTATTTCAACCTATTTATATCTAAAAAGTTAAATTTTAATAATAAATAGTTATATAAATAATATCAATCATATTTATTTTTATGTCTAAAAATTTTCATTCTCTTGATTTTAGTAACTTTTATTATTTAAACTTCTATTACCTTTATTTTTTTTCTTTGTTCACTCATGTAACTATTTTATTTTAGCCTTCTAAATACTAAAACATTCCCCCTGTATTGTATAGGGATAAAACTAGAGTTAAATGACAAATCTACACTTAAAGTAATCGGCCACGGGTGTCCAGTATTAAAAAGTAAGAAAGGGGGTATAAATACCTATAACGTTATATGAGTGGGTATTTTTTTTAGTTCACATCAGTAAAAATTAACACATGACATGCACAGTCAGCATTTAATACTAAAAACTAACGCCGTTAAGGCAAAGTTAATAGGTTGGTCTCTTCTACATCTACTCATGTAACGTTACAGGTAAATACCCTCTTTTTTGGCTTTATGATACTGGGTGCCTTTGGCTGATTACTTTATGTGTAGATTTGCCTTTTAACCTGTAAAACTGTAGGCCTTGTGTTATATAAAGTATTGGACAAGTGAGATTAGGATTGAAGTTGGCTAGTATCTTTTTATTATTTTTGTTATGAGCTAATGCAAAATTTAATCTAAATCTCAATGTCATCTAAAATTACCCAATACCACCTCCCCATCAATATTGGAATTAATTTTTTTCTGACCAAATTACACCTATTCTCTCACTTGCCCCTATGCCCCTATCCTCTGCCATGGCCATTTCCTCTCTCTTCCCTATCCTCTTGTCATCTCATCCCTCTCCCTTGCCCTTTCTTCTCTCTCTCCCTAACCAAATAACTTCTCTTGCACTGGTAGCATCTGATTAGTGTTTTGAAACTTAAATTGGATAAGATGGTTTGACTGGTCTGATCGTAACCACTCAACGAAATGGCTTGGTTCAACTATTTGGACCACTTCAACATTTGGATTGAGTTGACCAAGGTGGTTTCAAGAGAGTTAAATTTGACTTAGAAACCAGAGAAAGTCAACTTAGCCCAAAGCTTAAAAAATAAGAAAACTTAGCTCAGTTGCTTCGATTTACGATTTCTCTTCTCTAATATTTAGTTCTTTTTTGTCTTCTCTTTTTTAATCTTTGATTTTTCCTCTATGACTTAGGCTAAATCTCTAATGATCTCTCCTCCAATTTTAGCAATCTAACTTTTGCTATTGAGATTGAAAGCTTGTGAGTTGTGACATGATAACATGCTTCTAGCTCTAGCATTTTGCTTCGAAATCATGAGTAAGTGCCGACATACCTCTGTCTCCAGTTTCAGTCTAGGGGTCTCGCTTTTGGTGTCAAAATTCTAAGTATCATTGATAAAGTAATGTTTTATTTATCTATTTCTGTATATAAATATTATTTTTTATTTACTTTTTATATCACCGAATTGATTGCTGCTCTAATTGATTGAACCATGAGAATTGCAATTTATTATTATTTTTGATTCAATATTCAATCTAAATTTTAAAATATTACATCCGACGGGTTGTTATTGGACTTCAAGTTTTCCCTATACCATTAAGAGAAAAAGTACAAAAGCAAAAGTGCAAGAGTTTAGCCAACACCCGTGCGAGTCAAGTAGCATCACGAAACAACAAAATAACAGCAAAAAGAGGGCGGGGGGTTGGAAATCCCTACGCTAGAACACACTCAGCCATTTTTTTTTAAAATATATTTTAGTAAAAAAAGAGGTTATTGAAAAAAGAAATTATATTATTTTTTATTAAAATGAGTTTACAAATAAGGGAAGAACATTAAACCAAATATATATTTTTAAAATAATTAGCGTTTTAAAAATAATATTCTTAAATCTTAATAATCAAACATAATACTAAATCAATCGATGTCTATATAAAAAAATCAAATTGAATGCTATTTAAATTCATTTTTTTCTTACATAAAATGACAAAATTATCTGGATTTTATTTTGTATTTTTTAAAATTTCACTTCAAAGTGGACAAAGCATAAATAAAGTAAATGTAATAGTGTAATTATAATTAAAAAAATACTTCCTCTAAACCATAATATATAGAACATTAGATAATTTTTATAATTATTTTTTTAACTATATATTTATTTTATTTATTTTTTTAAAGAAATGATATATTAAAATTTTAATTACCATTATTAAAAAACTTATATAAAATATTAAATGTAAGTATAATTGAAAAGATGTAAACTTTTTTAAAAGATTAAAATTTCAACTAATTTTTTTTAAAATTGTAAATTAGTTTCAAATATTTCATATTATGATAAAAAAGAGTAATATTTTAAAATAACATGTTATATTCCTTCTGTTAAAAAATGTAAGATATTTTTTAAGGAGTTAAATATTAAAAAATATAAGGTATTTTTAATCTTTTGAGGTCTAATCATTACTTTTTTTTAAAGTATCTCTATTAATAATAACTTTATATTTATTGTGATGTGTTTGATAGAAGTAAATATAAAAAAATATAATTAATTAAAAAATAAGTAATTATTTTATTAAAAAATAAAATTTAATTAAAAATATTTTATATTTTTACATGTTAGTCTTTCTTGTTTTTCGTTGTATAAAAAAAAAAAGGTTATAAAATAAACGAAAATTAATTACACACACACGCTCAGAACAATTAAAAAGAAAAAAAGAAAACTATCAATTACAGAATCCATTCTGTGAAGCGATATTTGTTATGAAAATGCTGTGCCAAAATTAGTAACTCGATCTGTTATGGTTATAATGACGGCAAGCAAACAAATGGGTAGTTCAGAGCTCTAACATGTTCCATGGCCGCAAGGGACGCCAACCCAATCGCCAGCGCCAAGAAGGTCCCTCTCTTTCCCCTTCTCTCTCTCATTTGCTTCACTTCCATCTTCCTCATTCTCTCGCAGTTCCGAAAGACTTCTATTCCTTCGACAACAACTTCTCCTTATCACAGCTTCGATATCGCCGATGAGGAATCTCGGAGCACCGTTCGGGTCGGGTCTTGCGACTACTCCGATGGATCCTGGGTCTACGATCCGAAGGCGGCAAGTGCTAGGTACGACCACACGTGCAAGGAGATTTTCAAGGGCTGGAATTGTAGGCTTGGGAACAAATCGAACGCTGGAGACATTGTCAAGTGGCGGTGGAAGCCTAAGCGCTGCGATCTTCCGCAGTTTGACGCCGTTAGGTTTCTTCGGGATTACAGAGATAGCAGCATCGGTATTCTACTCTCCTTTTCCTTGATGGCTTTATCAGTGTATTTGGGATGCTGGATCTGCTGGCACTGGACTTAATAGCAGCTAGGACTGGTAGCATGGTCGTCTCTTACTATTATCTTTTTGTTTTTTTAAACTTAAATCCATTTGCATTTGAGCCATTTAGAAATGAAGACCATGTTAGTAAAGTGGTACATCACTTGATTACTTGGCATTCAGTTGATCCGTATGGCCTGAATGTTCTAGTAAGCGAGTATTGCCATTTTCTTGTTATCAAAGGATCATTACTAAAATGGAAGAATTTAATTGTGTTGTTTTCAATTAAAATGAAAGAGAACAAATCAAATGTTTTGCAATGCCAGAGAGACTCAAATTGTAGCCTTCCTTTTAATGGGGCAGTTAATTTTGCGGTTTTGGGTTGGATATTCGAGAACACTGAGCGGTTTGTTTTTTCTAAGACAAAAAAGTAGTACTTTAGATCTCGGAAGATTATGTGAATGTGATGGTCAATTTGATACTCTGTGTGTGTTTTTCCTTTTTTGAGAGTATTACTTTGATATTTGAAAGTAAATTTCGTTTCATGCCCACCTAGAGCTATTGCAGTTATGATAAATCTAAACAAAATTATGTTGTTGTGTATTAACTTGAACTTCTTGATGATGATACAATCTTTTGAAAAACCAGAATAGGTTCTGTGGGAAATTATACCAATTTGGCATTTTCAATGATTTATGGTAGCTTTAACTGGTTCTCCCACTGCAGGTTTTGTTGGGGATTCCTTAAACAGGAATATGTTTGTGTCGCTTTTCTGCACTCTTAAAAGTGTGTCCAATGAAGTGAAGAAGTGGCGACCAGCTGGTGCTGACCGTGGATTCACATTTCTGCAATACAATCTCACCATTGCATATCATCGAACAAATCTCTTGGCTCGTTATGGTAGGTAAGCTTTATTGTTACAATGATTTGATTTGCTATTCTTATTTTGAGCTCTTGTTGGCATCATGTACGATCGTTTTCTATTACTCTTTTTTGTTTATTACAACACCTTTTTAAGTTTTAAGTAACTCAGAACTGGATTATGATATGTTCTGTACTTCTGTAAGGAGAAAAGCCATTAATGGAGTGGAGCATAGGGGCAGAGTTCCCTCCCAATTACTTGTTTTTAATGAGAAAAATGATAGCAGCATCCTTCTCGTTGTTTCAAAGTGACAAGGGCAATTGGAGTTAGGTGGAAAGCATCTAATATTACCTTATACATTATTCCCTTTGATGTATGGTAAGGAGTTGAAACTGCTAGAATAATGATTGATTGAACAACGGGAGGCTAACCATCCCATTGGGAGGGTTTAAAAATTAAGTTGTGTGATGGGAAGGTTTTGTTTGGAACCCCTTTTTAACCCACTTTACTCTATTATTTTTACAACATCCATATGATGGCTTACAAGTTTTTCATATAGCACTCCATCCAAACAAACAAGCCTTGAGCGGCTATAAGCAGAAAGTAGCACACACGCTGAACCCCTTTTTCTTATATTTTTTTTTTAAGAATGTGAATTTCCAATTTTTTATTTGGTATTATTGAAGATTAAGTTTCTAGCAGTATTCAAATAATAAAAAGTATGTTTATCAGTTATATTGAGTGACTTCAGCCTCTAAAGGTTGTAAGAGAAGTTACATGCAATCCATTGTTGTGGTGTGACAGCTTTTGTAAGCTATTACTACGTCTATAAGTTGTTGATTGATGAGTTGACAGTTACAGCATATGGTTGTTGTTTTCTCGCCCCTCTTTTTTGAGTTTATGTGATTTACTTCATTTTATGCTATTAGTTAGACTGCAATATTTGAGCTGCACTTAAATGAAAATTGTTGTTCCCCTGATTCATTCAGATGGTCAGCTAATGCAAACGGTGGTGCATTAGAATCTCTTGGATTCAAAGAGGGCTTCAGAGTTGATGTTGATGTTCCAGAAAGCACATGGGCACAAGCTCCAAGTTTTCATGACATTTTAATTTTTAATACTGGCCACTGGTAATTTTTTATTATCTCCATGTTTCGTCAATTGATGATGTGTGATTCTACATGCTTTCATTGCTAATTTTGGAGAATGACAAATGAGGACCTGTAAAATTAATGTAAAATAAAGACCTATGAGTTGTAAATTCATGAAGTTTCATTTGTAAAATCCTGATATTTTGGCTGTAAAATGTCCTCGATATTTTTCAAATGTCTTTATTTGTCCTTCTTCCTCTCTAATTAGTGAGCTGACACTGCGTGGATTGTTCTTTGACATTTGAGAAGATTCCTGTTGCCTGCAGCAGATTTTATGATTTTTGAGATTCTTTTGGTTATATGAACAGGTGGTGGGCCCCTTCAAAATTTGACCCTGTAAAGTCACCTATGCTTTTCTTCAACAAAGGCCAGCCAGTAGTCCCTCCATTGCCTCCTGATCGTGGCCTTGATTTGGTTTTGGAGCACATGGTATGGCTAATGCATTGCTTTCTTATCCTCTCTAATGATCAAACCACGCATGCAATGTAATACTTGAGCTCTATAGTCAATTTATACCATGGCCACAGCTGGATTTATCCAGAATTAAGATCTCGAAACTCGCTTCTTCACATCAATTTGTTGCATATAAGAAATTATCCAGAAATGCTTCCTACAAGAATTGCTATCCCATGGCTGTGTTACTAATGAATGTTTAATTCCGATGTTCTAGTTCCCAACTTACAAAGATGAAGGGAGCTCTTTCCGTGGGGTTGTAGTCCTTAAGGGATAGGTGCTTATTGGATAGTGATAAAATTTGGTCTTTGGGATTTATGAACAGATTCTGCTGTTGTCATCAACTCTCATTTAGCCATAAAATTTTGGGGTGGGGGTCATAATTCTACATTTTGAACTGGTTTTCTTTACAGATACCTTATGTGGAGGGAAGGGCGAAATCAAATGCAGTAAAAATTTTCCGTGCTCAATCGCCCAGGCATTTTGAAGGTGGTGATTGGGATCAAGGTGGTTCTTGTCGAAGGCTTCAACCTTTATCAACAGAGCAGGTGCTTCCTCCAAAAATTTTGTGGTATCATGTTAATACATCTGGAAAAATAGAATTGGAACAAAATTGTGCTCATGAGTAGTTAAGTGATACAAAAGTCTGTGAAGAAGTTATTTGACATTCAGTTCATCTTTGCAATACCAAAATGGGGTTTCACTTACCTATAGTATTTAACAAGTCTCCTCACCCCCTTCTTTGCGTTAAAATTTCATTTGAATACAAAAGGAAGGGGTGGCATGTAACTATTTTCTGACTACCTAATATAGAGATTCTATCATAATGCCTTTTTAGAGAAAATGTTCATAAATGGTTTTTAAGAGATGACAAGCATTTTATGCTCCAGATTCTAGTTTCAGTCAGAATAATCAAAAGTGAAGAGCAATGAAACAACATTGTGCTAGCCATACGGGGTTAGTTCAAGTGATATGGATGGGGTGGGACATGGATAATTTTCAGGTTTAAACTCTCTTGATGTACATGATGCTGCTAAAACACAATCCAACCTTAAAATACTTAGGTATAGGAATAAAAATTCTTTGACGAAGCCAACTAATACTAGGCTTATCTTTAGTGGAAGGCCAAAATTGAGTTCACTGAATTATTTATATGATTTACTTAATATGTTGGGGTTAGTAAGTTTTGTTTCCTTTTCAGGTGGAAAACCTGTTCTCAGTAAAGAATAACGGGACAAACGTGGAGACTCGATTGGTCAATGAACACCTCTACGAGGCTCTTTCAGGGTCTGGTTTTGTTGTTTTGGACATAACTCATCTGAGTGAGTTCAGAGCTGATGCTCATCCATCGACGGCGGGTGGAAAAAAACACGATGACTGCATGCACTGGTGCCTACCAGGACTCACAGATACCTGGAATGACTTGTTCATAGAGCATCTATATAGTATCAAGAACAGAAGTTGATGATTGACTTGTTCATATTCCACTCAAGAAGAAGAAAAAATTGTTCATATGTTTCTTGTACTACACACGTGTTTTGATGACGTTTTATTCAATGACTCTAGTTCAGTATATGATAGTAGAGTACTTGTTTCCTTCTCAATTTTGTCTGAAGGTAGAGGAAGGTCTAAGAGAACACTTTTGAAAGTTATTGAACGCGATCTGTTAATTAATAATATTCTTAAAAGCTTGATAAATGATAGAGTACAATGGTGTCTTGCAATTCATGTAGCCGACCTCACCTAATGGGATAAAAGCTTGTTGTTGTTGTTGTTGTTGTTGTTGTTTAGAGTCAATTGATGATGAGATCATATAGTTAGTTCAGTATATGATAATAGTAGAATACTTGTTTTATTTCTAAATTTTGTCTGAAGTTACAGAGTGGAATTGATGATAAGATGATATCTAGTTCATATGATACACGTTTTGTTCTTCAAAAAGGAGTGTGGATTTAAATGTTCTATCCTAACCCGTACCAAAAAGCTTCAAACTTTTGGGGGGGGGGATTAAAACCTTGTTTTGATCCTCCCAAAGGTCATCAATTATCTTGTTACTCATGGAGGATTTTATAAGAAAATGACAATTAAACACCTCATAATATTAATAATTACAAAAATATTAATATCAGACTATAGTTCTTGTTTGCAATTAAAAAATGTAAATAGTTGATAAATTAATAAAATATACTTGAAATTATTTGTAATGTAAGTTGAAAATTTATAAGAGTCAATTATAAATAATAAATCAATTATTTGTAATTTTTTTTGCTATCAATATATAAATAAATCACTTAAAAATTTTTAAAAAATATAATTAAGATTATCTATAAGGTAAGTTAAAAATTTATAAAAGTCAAATATAAATTACAAGTTAATCATTTGTAATTTTGTAATATCGCTTGGAAAATCAACAAAATGAACTTGAAAATATTTATAATATTAATTGAGAATTTATAAAAATTCGTTGTGAATTTTAAACTAATTCATGTAAGGACCATAGTTTTTATTGAAATTTTAATAATTTATGGTATGTAATTATCATTAATATTGTTATGAGATTCCTAGTTGTTGTTGTTGTTGTTATTATTATTATTATTATTATTATTTGCCTTATTTGGTACTTCGCAAATCACAAGTCCGTATGTTGGTGACTTGTCAGTGAATGTAGCGATGGAGCCACATCTGATTAAAATATTATAATTAAAAGGGTTTTGAAACTTGAGAGGGACTACAAGAAAAACAAAAGTATACAGATAACGAACTTTGAGAATGCATCTAAATGTAGAGCTTTTTTTGTTTTGTGTTATTGTTTTGTGGGGGTGGGTGTGGGGCGGACACAATGTAAAAGCAGAGTACGAAAAAGAAGATACTTCCACTCTGAAATGGTTTAGCGAATAACATATACCAAATGAACAAGCTGGAACAAGCTCAGCTCTTAAAATTTGTGGTAGGTATGAAATTCATAGCAGTGAGCACCAAATAATTAAAGACTAATGAGATATATAGTAATAACCAAACAATACATTAATTTTAATAGCTTGCACCCAAAAAAAAAAAAAAAAAAAACTCTCCAATGGGCAAACCTCCAAACTGAAAGCCCTTATCATGAAGGAGCTAATGCTCATTGCTCAGTCTACTAGGACAATCCAGTCCTTTCTATTCTCAACTCGACCTGTTTGAATACCAACCAGGGCGTTGCACAGTTTTTGACCCACCCTCTCTGCTCCTGTCTTGTATTCAACTCTGCAGAATTTCAAGTTTTGAAATCATGGTGTGTTCCATTAATCTTTCATTGATTAAATCTACTTAAAAATAACTCTCAAACTGACTTGCCTTCTTTTATTATAGGTCACAGATGCAACAGACTTTACACCCATGGCAGTTCCTGTGCAGAAGACTTCATCAGCTTGCAGCATTTCCTCCACTTCAATATCACGTTCCATGACCTATAACATATGGTTCATGTAGGAACTTCCTTTGTAAGTTTCAACAATATACATCATAACTTTTCCTCTGTAAAACAGGAACTGCTGGATTCTATGAAATAAATTAAACTATCACGTCCAGAGGAATTTTATAGAGAATCAATAAATTAGTAGTGAGTTCAGACGTTAATCATGGATCAATTCATATGTCAATTGTCAGAGAAAAGTGAAGGAAAATGAGTCCCCTGATAGCCCAAATCAGTGGCAAGTTCAATTATGCTTTTTCGTGTGATCCCTGGCAGAATGCTACCATCTGCTGCTGGGGTGCTGATAATATTACCCTCCATCACAAGATCAAAAGAAATATGAAGTAAACTAAAATCAAAAGATTTTCATAATTAAAATCCTACATGCTTTACGCAAGCATCCTCCGCTTTATATGCACAGATTATATAATGACAAGTACATTTTTCTTAAGAACCTATTAATACGTATAAGAACTAGTTCAGTTCCAAATAGAGGGTAAGAGTAAGGCTCTTAATTACCTAGGCATGGTTTCTTTTATTTACAAAGCTCGAATTAGAAATCTTAGGATACTTGAGTTTTTCACGGTTGACCCAATGCAAAACTGATGATAAAGACAGTCGGAAATCATTGAAATTATGTGAAACTGAGAAAGTAGGGTAAGTTAGCGTACCTTGACAACAGATACATTGCTTAAAGAAGTTTCCTCTATATATTTTGCAGTTGCAGCGTCCAAGAACAGTACATCAGAGAATCCCTGTGTTTTAGCTTCAGTGATTGCTCTGTAAATCTGCCGCACCAGGGGAATAAATGAAAGAAGGAATTGGATGATGATGATGAACTGGCAATAAAATAAATAGTGATTAATTAATATTATGCATACTAACAGGGGCATAGTTGGTGACACTCTTGATACCTCCAGTTCCACCATGCCCAGTTATTGCTCGGAACATCTTATTCTCCACTTTCGGGTCAAGCAGACCCTGCTATCAACTCCAACCAACGCTTAAACATATGCAATTATGATATGAGTATGAATATTTTATAGAGAAAGAAGAGAAGTATAAAAAAAAGGTAAAAAGCAACCTTGCGGTAAGAATTAACAGGAGAAGCATAAGTAAGTAAAGTGTATTCAGGTGATGGATGGAGTCCTAAAGCTTGCCATCAGCAATGGCCTTATATACAGTGACCCTTTTCCCTGTGGAGGCACCTGCATCGATCAATTCTATCATCATGCATTCATAATTCATGAACAATTATAAAAACGCTTGCAAAAAAGCGCGTAGTTATAAACATGAAGAGAAAAAGAAAAAGGAATACTCCAGCGACGATTGGCAAGGACAGCGTTCTTGACAGCGTCGAGAAATTGCTCAACCGAAGGGGAAGGCATACACATTCTTTCCGCTCCGATCTTCATCCGTCTGGCATTCTCTTCTAGTCTGAACAGTAATATTCTGTGCCTTTAACCCTTCGAACACTCCCTGAAGTTTTCACTATCAAGTTTCAGATAAGATCTAACAATGGAAATCTGATTTCCCCAGCACGAAATCCGCTTGTATAAGAAAGTTCGTTCTAACTTCACCTCTTGAAATTACTTCAGATCCAAATACATACAAGTCTCTAACATAACATTCATACACTTATGTATAATATGATATGATAATCGCTATTCATAAGATATCAATCGGAGGAATATAGGAATTGAGATACAGTGATGGAGATACCTGAGCATAGTTTAAGATGGAAGCAGAAGGGTTGAGGACGAGGCTTTCGAAGCGAGTGAGAGAGCCGTGAGACAAATGGTGACCAAGCGCGCATTTCATGACGTACATGAAATCGGTCCGTACGAATTCGAATCCGAGTTCGTCCCACTTCGCCTTCGCGCGCTTTTCTTCTTCTTCCTCCTTGCTTTCTCTTACATCATGAAACATGTTTCCGTGCAAATCACTTTCTTAACAAATTTATTTAAAAAAAAACTAAATTCCGAAATACGTAAATTTGTGTGGAGTTTATCTTTTTTTTAATAAACAAAAAAATATTTTATATTTTATAAAGAAAATATTTTATATTTTATAAAAAATAATAAGATAAAATGTACCAAAAAATTCACAAAATTTATAAATCTCAGTTTCAGAGGATTTAACCCCTCTTTTTATACCTTGACACAATTTGAATCCATTCAAATCATACCATTATTGTTAATTATATTATTTTCTTAAAAATAATGCATGATGCATCAATGAGACAATACAAATTAATCCCCTTAATACTAGTTATTGTATTGACACTAAACTACACTTTCTTTTTTGTTTCTTTTTGGTGAAATATAAACTACACTTTCTTATGCCTCAACCAAACATAAAAAATGAGAAATAAAGAACAATGATAGTGCCTTTAAAAAAAAAAATAGTGAGGGAGAAATGAGAGGGATGAGTTTGAAGAGAAGAAATAAATTACCCAAAGGCTTGGGTGGTTGAAGAACAAGAAGAAGAAGAATACATAGTTTCCTTCAAATGATAAAATATGGCCTCTCTCTCTTCTTCTTCTTCTTCAAAACCTTTCTTAATGCTCTTTTTATGAACGCTGGTTTTTGTAAGTGAATTTCGGGAGGAACCTCATTGTCCCATTTATATGAAATAAAAGCTCCTTGTGCTTAGAGTGTTTAATAAATTTTTTTTTAAAATTTTTTTCTTTTTATCCTAGTTAAAAAGAAATGTTTAAGATTGGAGGAAGCTAGTAGCTAGTGTAATTAATGTATCTTTTTCATTTTGGCCCTTCATTTAATTATGATGAATCAATTAACTAATAAGGTGAAACTCCAATTAAGGACTTTACTAGGGATATTTTTTGGGGGAAATCACAAATTATGGCATATCGCGAATTAATTAACCAACAAAACTATTTTTTCTTGGTACTAAGAAAAATAGCTATTTGTTTCATATATTTAACGATAGAAGGAGTAAATTTAATTGTATTCCTTCATCTTGATGAATTAATTGTCTATTCTTTTCAAAAAAAGATCGAAGAATATTTATAAATAACTTCTAACTATTTTATTAGAATTAAAAAATAATTAAATAATTAATATCCCTCTGTTAAAAAATATAAAGCATTTTTAATCGAATCTCACCTCTCAATAAAGTAGTTACTTGCTT